GCCCACACGGGAATAAGTGTGTAAGGCTTCTGTTACTTTGATCAGGACCACTGGAGCTGAAGACATCATCACTCTTTATTTCAGACAAATGTGAATAACACTTAAGAAATAAAAATTATTATCCAGGCGAGCCAGTGTCAGCACTGGTCATTTTACGGAAAAAAGTCTATGAAACAAACAGCCCACTGTCTACAAGAAATGTTGAGTAAAAATCCAGAGTATGATAAAATAGTCCAAATTTTTTTAAATATTTCAGTCTGAACCAAAGAGGTGGACCAACTGCACATCCAACTGACCAACAGACAGACTGACATCCCAACACTGCCTTCCCTAAAAAGCATTTTAGTAAAAACTGAGCTGCACGTAGTCTTTGCAAGGTTTATCATACCCTCTCAGACAAAGGTATAATTTTTCCTGACGTTGGTGCTCTGTCATGAAACCTGCCTGTAGAGTCTTCTTCAAAACTTGCACCTAAACATGCATCAGCTTTAAATCTAAATGAAGAGCAATAGAAGCTAATATTTGGCAGAAAACATGCGAGCTGAGATTTTAGTCATTTGATTTCTTTAAGGGAACGCCTGCAAAAGTAGGCTGAACCCATTTCTAAATTAATTATTTTATGCTGATATATAAATGAGGCAATAAATATATAAATTAATTTTAATTCTGTTATAACAGCATTATAAATAGGAGCAGTTAGCAGTTACTTTAGCAAAAAGTAAAGCTATCTGCCCATAGAAAGGAACTGCGGCAGAGCAGGATTCAGGAACACTCAAGCACGGACTGCTATACTTTCACCTCAGCAGATCTGAACACATGGCTTGTACATCATGAGAATACTATCCAAAATATTATTGTGGATATTTCTAGCTTTAGGCGACATGAATGAACGATTACCATATTTTCTCCTTCTGGTGTGTTATTCTGGTGGTGGTGATTGCAAGCCCAGTAAATGTGAGCATATGCCAGTCGAAGCACTACGCTCAGTCACTACTGAGGTGTTCTGTTGCACTTAATAACTCAGCTTTGGTGTGGTGATTGGCCAGGAGCCAAGAGTGTGTATTTTGAGTCAGGTCCAGCTGTGGAACAGTTCATATCCCTTATTTAATACCCACACTGAATGGGTTCACTGGTACAGGCAGGAAACAATTCATTGCTCTCACGTCTTTACTGAAAATATGGACAAACTGCGAGCTGCGACTTTCACACATGCGTGTGCAAGAGATGTGAAGCGGGCTTCACACATCGCAGCTGCAGGATGTGTGTGTGCCTCTGTGTGTATAAAACTGAAACTGACCATGTGATCACCTCCATCCACAATAGTCAACACACACACACACATAATGTGCAATAGCAGATTTACTTCCCTACCTGGCAAGGCTTGGCTTTCCGGACACTTAGTAAAGAGTCACTGGGGCACATCATGTTCTCCAGCAGCCCCTCATCCCAGACAGCTAGTCCAGCACAGCTAAAGATCAACCACTGGCAACCCTTGTCCTGCAGGCCATCGTACAAAACATCCAAATGCAGTCTGTTCTGTGGCCTGGACACCACTTCCTCCCCCATCAGGAGGGTTGAGGAGAACATTTACATAATTACAGACTGACCAGCCACCTCTCTGCTTACTTTGAAAATAAGCAAATGCACATGCCAAAGCAAACATGGGAAGACTCATTACAGAGAGTGAAATCAACTTGCACACTTTGAAATTTGACAACTAAAATGGATGATAACTCAGAAATTAAAGGAAAAGTTCAACATACTGGAAAATAACCTTTCCGCTTTGCTTTGATTTAGATAAGAAGATCCAGACCACTCTTGTGTCTATATAGTAAATATAAAGCTCCTCCTCGTAAAACCACAACATGCAGTTTTTACACGTTTTATGTATGGAGGTGCTGGTATTGTAGATGCTGTTAACTTTGGACAGAGCTAAGGTTGCTGTTTGCCCCTGTTGTAAAGGAGTGAGTAAATCATTTTTCCCCCACTGGATTATCTCCTCTTCCTGTCACAAAAGATCAGGGGCAGATTTTGTCAATGAGACCGTATTATGACACACTGTGTGCCCTTGTTGAAGGCTAAGCACTTAGGAAGATGCTGCTTGTGTCCAATCTGTGCCCACGACACAGGTGGAAATACAATCAAGGACCAGTGTAGGAGTGGGCAGAGTGTCCAATTGTCCTTAGGGGATCTTATCTTATCACAAGCAGAAACCTTCGCTCACAGAATGCGCTTCGGCAGGGCCACCTCATTTCAACCAGAGCTGGGGTGACCTTCTGCAGCCAAGGCCGTAGGCAGGGGAACAGACAGCTGGATTTCTGCCTCCTCCACAAAAGTCCTCACTTGACCATGGAGGTGATGGGTTACCAACAGCTGGATAAATTGATGTGAAGAGATGCATTTCACAGCCCTTCAAACTAAAGGTTTTACAGGGCTATCCATAGCAGTTATGCTGTGACTGGCCATTTACAGAGCAAATGATTCTATACATCTGTTAAAAAGAAAGCAAATAATGTAAATGGCCAGAGTCCAAATTTGTTTAATTTCACTTATGCACTCTCTAGAGAGTGGAGATTTCAAAAATATTAACTTTCTACAGTATAAACGCATGCAAGTTTTACTACCAGATCTTCTCAGTTGACTGACTGTGTCTGATCATAATCCACCTTGACCCAAGCAAATCTGTCACTAGATGAACCACAACAAAAACCTTTTCACCTACCCACTCCAGTAGTCTGCAAGTAGTACAGTGCACTCAGAGGAGGATACAGTATGTTTTGAAAGAAGTAGTGACAGGAACACTACGTGAAATCCTTGCATTACTAAGCTTATTTTGATGTGGCAGAATTGCTTAAATTTATGGGGAAATTATACAAACTTTTACTTAGATAATTGACCCTTTGAAGGTTGTGTTCAGGCTGTCAAACTGACTCAAACGGACGTGAAAAAAATGAAAGATAGAAGCTTAAACCTACCGATCACACAGTACAAGTGAACCACCGCATCCCCCGACGATTGAGACAAAAGACAACGATATGAACGATCAACACTGTTCCCGTAAAGCTGGGAAGGCCTCTATTCATTATTACATTCATTAAAAAGCAGAACAGTAGGACTTTTTTACATTACATTCAGTAGGAAGTTAGCTAGCGTTAGCAAATTTCAACCTCTCTGGGTAGCAACTGTAACTATTACAAGTGCCCCAGGAACAGCGTTTGACCATATCTTATACTCTAGAGTCAATGGAGCGCATCCATGAAAGTGTCGGACCTCAGTTAGAGCGAGACCTATGTTGCGCTGTGATTGGCCAGCTGTGTATTCGGGGCGTGGCTTAGAGAAGGGTCAATTGCCTTGAATAGTATATTATACATAGGAAGACACCAGCTTTTGAAGCTACTTTGCAATAAGACAACTGTAAACCCACTAGCCAATCAAAAACGAGACTTTTACTGCTGTTAGCGCCACTGAAGACCACATAATTGAGAATAGTGCATGGTCACTTTGCACTGCACCTATAGGTTTCTTTTGGTTTCTTCCTTTTAGAGCTAGAGGCATACGTCTATGTTACAGGATGACCTTGTATGTGAAACAAATCCATCAATCAATTCTCAACTGTGTCAACTGTGACATGCATGTGTTCATCATGCAGGCAGGGTATGCATGCAAAAACCAAAACAACACTAGAATTAAATAAATGTTAATTGGTTAACTTTTCAGCTGGATTGCACTGCCTGTCTGTTTGACAATGAAAGTAAAAATACCTAGTTTCAAGCAGAAACAAATGGGTTAAATATTGTATCATGTTGGGCCTCATTTGCATTGCATCCCTTGCAATTTGTCTTCTGCGCATGCATCTATTGCGGCATCATTGCTGTAACCACTGCTCAGCGGTACATAATGTCAAAGACTGTAATTTCAGAAGTCTGACAAATCTCAAATGTAAAAGAAGCCCTGTAACTGCTTCAACTTTTTAACACTACATTGTGTGCAGTAAACATGACACATCGCAACAAAAGACAAATCCCTCTCGTTGTCAATGATCACAGAAATCTATAATTTAAGTGGTGGTAGAGTGGTAAAGCTTCGAAACAAGCACAGCCACTGAAACCAGAGGGTAATTTCTGTATTTACCTGCTGATGCAGCATACTCACACACTCACTGTGTGTTCTGTATGTTTGGCCCTGGCAACGTTCAAGCCTACATCAGCAGCAAAATTGCAATGGCAAGCCTATACATGCTGCTTTTCACACTGCTGTGACTGAGGGGGATGGGAACCTGGGACAGTTTAAAATCCAGACGCAGCCTTTCCAAAGGCCATGGGCCCATGATTCATCTTCAAACTTTGGCTAACTTTGAGAAGTCCTGCCATGAGACATGCTGTATAACACCTGAAGACAGGGAGTGGTTTCAAAACCGACCTTAACTGCAGGAACGCTATCAGGAGAAGTGTTGACAGTTTGAATGAGTGCACAAAGAGATCTGCTCCCATCAAATAAGTGGTTGGAAAATACCCATGTACAGCCATTTAAATGACTAACCAATCACTGTCTTTTAGATGAACTCCCTACAGAGTCAGCCATAAGCGCACCAAATACAGTTCACCAACTAGCCTTAGTCAACAAGCTTCCAGTGCTGAATATTTTGTGATTCTAGTGTGACTGGGCCTCTACTGTCTAGTTTGGGCCAAAAAGTTTCCCCTAAGCAAAAGGGAAAAGGATTGGCAGCTGTTATCAGAGACTGGTTAAAATAAAGGAAACGAGGGCAGTGGAAATATCGAGTGCAGCAGATCTTGCACTCTTTACGAGGCTGAACGATAAAATCACCAGAAGATGAGATGACGTGAAAGGCATCATCTGTCACTAGACTTGAGATTCCATAAATTACTATACCGATGGTGAATATGGATTTAGAGAATTGTTTAATGCTGTACTATGTACTAGTTTGTCTAATCTTGACTGTTTTTATTGAAGATTTAATTATGTTACTAAGGATGACTCACTTCTGCCGGTGTGTTGTCTGGACCCTCTGGAGCATGTCCTCTCAGGTTGATGATGTGGATCTCCTGAGGGAGGCTGGTGGTGCCCCTGCTTGCACAGCCTGACAGGGCTGTGAAGCTCTTCAACATGGCCTGCACCGGGTGTCCCATCCCCACCGGCAGCAGCTCACAAGGGCTGCGAAACAACGGCCCTGCAAGTGAAGAAAAAAGGACTGTATGAATGATCATCTCTAGGCCGAGTAACGTGTGATATAATCAATATTCCAATTACAAATCCATTGAGGCAATTCCAACCATTTTTCCCCCCTCTGAATGATCAAATTTGACCTTCTCTAATCATGTAGGAGGAGAACCAGACTTTACACTTTAAGTGCACTCTGTCCGGTAAAGCCTGGACAAATTGAGGTAAAAAAAAAACGTCAGCATGGTCTCCAGTAATGATCCAGTTCATACTTTCAAACTCTCTACATGCTGTACTGTACAAGGCATCTCAATGAATAATTAAAGGTGCTGAAGCAGGCGTATTTGTTTGGTATCACGAAACTCATCTCTGTTGCAAAGTGTTCTAAAAAGGTTTTTATAATAAACAGCTTTAATACCTCGTCTTCTCTTTCATTTCCGCTTATATACCACTTCCCTACTTTCTCTGGTTCAGTGAGAAACATGTGCTCTGGCTAGGACTGGAGATATAAGAGATTTTCTGGTTTTGCCCGTGGGAAGAACGTACATATAACAATCTGTACATTCTTGGTTAAAAGCCATGTGAAATCTCGTTTCTCTTTCGTCTCCTCTCCCCCTGTGTGTTTGTCACTCGCGGACTCGACTCGCAATGCTTATCAGAATGCAGAGATTTGACTGGCTGAGCAGCATCACATGAGACAACTGGAACACATGCAATTGGTCCAGTACAGTAAATGCTAGAAAAGCTGCGCAAGATCAAAATAGAAACACTCCGTCGCAAGGTAGTAATGCACAATAATAAATCGGCTGTAGGTCGGGGTCCGGAGAGGACGCCGACTGGGGCCAATTAGTAACCTCTGCTATAAAGAATGCTTCATTTGTTGCAACAAACTTCAGAACTACAAAGTCCTTGTGTCTTTCTGACATAAGTCTAAGGAGCGAAATAACCAGTTTATTTTGATGAACTATAAATAGCAGGGGTGCACAACATATCAATGGAATTTCGTCCGATAATTGACTGGTAAGTCAAAGTCTATACTGCAGAAATAATAATGTTATAGGTAGATGGCCTACATTTATTTTAATGAATCGAGCCTGTTAGCACTTTAACTGGGAACTCCACTGATTTTACACGCCAAAGTCCGTTTACAAGTCTTGGGCACATATGTGAAAAAGTTGTATAAAGCTTGTGGCTCCAGAGGAAGCTGCGCAAATTCTGATAAATGCCCTCAAGTGATGTCATTTCAGTCTGTGTATGCTGGGGCCGAAGATTACCAGTTTGAAAGTGAAAACAATTTGTGGGTGTGAAGTTAGAAACCCCTGAAAAAAAGATGGTATCACTGGTTCTGCGGAATCAATTTACATTTTATCTTTTTTGAAACGGTGCGACAATGTTATAGAAATGCAGTGGTACATCACTGCAGTGCTCTTTTGTCAATAAGAAAAACAACAACTTGTTGTCTAAAATTTTATTTACAATGGGGGGAAAAAACAGGCTGAACTAAAATGTTTTTATCTGCTTTCATGTTGGTGCATTACTGGGACAAACAGATAGGGATGGACACTAATTACTTCTCTTTCACACTCTAGTAGATGCTCTGAAATCAGTCACAGCAGCCACAACTCCAAAAAAAAACAAAACAGTGACTGAGCCCAGTCAATCAAGCAAAGCAGCACCAGGCAGGGTGTGAAGGCTTTCTCTAGTGCACAGTCTGCTCTAATGAACACATCTGTGAATGTCTGGACTACATGACAGATCCACTTATGATACATCTGTATAACCCACTTAAACACATTCAAGGTGTAACTTGCACATACACAAGAATACACCCATCTCACATGAAGACAGGGTGGTACACAGCACTGAGGTTGGAGTGAGGAAACAAACAGCTCTTTTCCATTAGAGAGTCATGTATACTACGAGCACGTCTGTGGCCAAGTTTTTTCTCGAGGTCAGACCTTGTGTTTTACCCCACAGCCTTGTGCCAGCCGAGGCTAGTTCACATTTCAAACACATCACACTAAACACGCAAAGGTTGCCAACAGCAATCAGATGGGACATTTGGAAATCATTAAAGTGAAAGACAGTTAGATAACAATGTTAAACTGACTCCAAAAACACCATCCCTCCACAGAGGGGTACAGCTAGGGGGGAAACTTTTTTTTTTTTGGCTCAGAACACATAGCTATTGTTTTCTCTTTCCGTGCTTTCCAATAAGTCAATGTTAGATCATCATAAATCCAGAGATCATGTATGGCATAGCTCGCCTCTCCTTGTTGCACACAGAGGTTTTATTGTTACCATATTTGTCTCTTGAGACAAAGTCAAAGCCCTTGACAAATGTCACAACCTGGATTTTGTGCTGACTCTTGTTGCTTGTGAATTCACTCCAAGCCCAGAGAGCTTATCTTTCAAACTACTATTGGGAACATACATATACTTATAAAATGGCAAAGTCTTACAATAGTGATAAAAGGACAATGCTTAATGGCAAAAACCTGTGGTGCATCAATATTTCAACCCCCGCCGAACCCCCCCTCCCTCCCTTTTCCTCCCAAAGGACCACAGCCTATTCCCTCTCTAACCATGTCATCAAGCCTCACTCCCACAAACACGTCTGAGGGCACTCCAACTCACTTTTTCCCCTCACACATGGAGAATAACAAACAACTGCCAGACAAAGAAATACGCAGTTCTTTCTGGGAGACTGCCAAAACATTACAATACATGTTGGGCAATGATCAGATTTTTTAAATTGCTTAAACATACAACAGAAAGGGGAGGCATGTGGGAGAAAAGGGTACCACACAGATAGAAAAGTAGGACTTTAAAGTTTCATGGTATTGTTTGAGCATAAGAAAGGTAACATCAGTCAATCTGTCTGTTCAATACTTCTGTACAAAATTTTTTTTAAATTTTTATATCGAAATTTTATTTTATTTTATTTTATAGCTATTGTGTAATCTAACTTAGTGCTAATACAGATCATGAAACTGGTGTGCTACACAGACAAGGTATAGCTACTGCTAAAAGGGCTGTTACGGTAAATTGAAATTAGCTAAGCCTACCGCAGGGGATGGCAAACACCGCAACAACCACAATTAGCGCTTCCAAAAATTCCACAAGCGTAACAAGCTCTGTAACGGTTCAAGGACAGATCATCACGGCCTGTACGTAACCCCACTTAAAACTAAAGCTGTAAGTGTTGCCACGTTTTGTGTTGTTTTACTGTTAATTTTGAAGGTTAGCTAACTTGGCATTAGCATATTGCACGTCTAATGTGGCTAGCAGGCTCAGCGATGTTGGACTAATGTTGAGATACTAAGGGACAGTCAAGAGAAACTGTGTGAATCTTAAGCCTCATTTGAAGCTCACTAAATAACAAGCATAGTGTGTCTGATGCCTGCAGCTGTTTTTCATGTTTTCTGTGGAAATTTAGTTCTAACGTTACTACAGCGCAGGTGTTAGCTTTGTTAAAGTTTAATGGAAGCCCATTCTGCTCCGCATTGGTGTGTGTGCGTTGCGTTTTGGTGACTTCTCTGACCTTTCATCTGCACCACTGGGCAACATGTTATACATGACATGACTAACACTTAAGCCAGTGATTTCTTTTTTATTAGAAATCCACAATACATAGTCATGGCCCCAGAGGATAAATCCTAATGTTTTGGTTGAGCCACGTTCCTCTAGCACCACCATCAGGCCAACATTTCCACTTGTAAAAAGGAAACATAAAAAGACCAAATTTACTGAGCACATTCATATTTTGAACACTTCATGAACTGGAGAGGGAAATTGCTCTCGGTAAAATGTCAAAAGTCTGATCTGAGGAGCATGACGACCACTGAGCATGTTGTTGCTAACAAAAGGGGAACTATTAAAAAAATAAAAAAAATTTATTATAGCAGCTTTAATTACTGCCAATTCAGTAAGAATGGACATAAGTATTTTGTTCATTCCATCCATCACTTTAAGATTGTAGGATGTAGTGAACACTGCAGCCTGTGCGGAAAACTTGGGGGTATTTAGACTGTTATTTGCGTGTTTTGTCAAATAATCGTTTAGAATTACAAGAAATTAATTAATGCTTTCAAATTAACCATTAATTTTATTAGGTTGTTCGATCGATGGAAGAATCACACAAATCACTCAATTCAAATATTTATTTGGATATACAGTAGTTTCACTACTATCATCTGTCTAGAAGTCTATAAAATGACCTACAAACATTTAGACTGATACGCAACACCAGACAAAGGCGTTTATCACTCATTCAGTTGTTCTATCTAGCTGAAACCGAGTTCTAACCCTATCACATATGCAATTACCATCAGCCTACAACCTCCAGACAGAAAAGTCTTGGAGGGAAAATGCCAGCAACTGTTAGCCCTGCCACAGCTTTGTGTCTCCTCACCTTGTCTGTCTGCCTGCCTTTCTCCCCAGCTTCTGTCTCCCTATCTCTCAAGCCATCTTTCTGTTTGCTCGGTTATCGATGGAGTAAGCAGAATATCCTGTCCAGCTGCTACTAGTGCCTTTTAGGTGGCCAGGCCAAACGCCCACAGAAGAGGAATGAGAGAAGCTGTTGTTGAATCTTCATGAAAAAAAAACGTCCTGTCTGGACCCACCAGACACTCTGCAGACTATACCAAAAATACCATAACCCAACAGATATAGCAAAATCTGCTGTAACTAATCTTTAAAATCAAATGTCTTTAGAGAAATGACACTAGCGGTCTGTTGTGTCCATCTAGACCGGTGTTGGAGCTAACGCTCTACAAGCTAACGTGTGACATTGCTAAGATTTTGCTGTAGTTTTGCAATTTATGTAAAAAATAAAATAAAATTCCCAGACTCATTTGCACTATTTCTGTTTCTTTCCCTCCAACTTAAAAGGGTAGCTGGATACTAGTGGAAGGTGTCCAGTCCTACTGTCAGTGTGCATGTGTAGCTCAGTTAGTGAGATGCAGAGAGGACAGCCTTTAAGTCGTGAAAATAAGTAACTACGCATTGATC